CTATGAACATTGACTGATGTGACGTCATCAATTGGGTAAAGTGTGCGTCATTGCAATATAACTGTTTGTCCTTCTAAAAAGACAAACACTTGGATTTCAGTCGTCTCTCTTTATATGTATAGGCGCTTTCAGTATGTTTTAAATATTATCTGGATGATATGATATTGAAGACAGGTGAGGTAAATTCAAGTTCCTCATTTAAAGAACTCTGGCTCCCCGCGGTGGTCGCAGATAGAATCGCTACAATTTTCAATAACGAATGACAGTCCACTGTCTCCTGGAGTGCCGTAAACTTTTCTTCTTCTTCTTGTTTTCTAACTAAGTATCACAGCAGGATATACTGTTACTTTGATGACCAGACTTCACCTACATTTCAGATCAAGCCAGCGTCTCATCATATTGACTAGATGGGTCACATGTCTGCCTCATGGGTTCATCATAGAGTGTGGAGGAGGAAGGAGAAGAACATGAGGTAAATCACCTTCTGTATTTCATCACACTGACCTCATCCTCCACACAGGTTTACACAAGCGTGAATTCCATTAAAGCAGAGGGCTCTGCTAATGAACACTCACTGTGATCACACAGACGAAGGCACAGCACATGCACATCCAAACAAAAGTGACATATTTTAGAACGTCTAAGAAAGTGTTAGCTCCAACTGGTCACCACTTAGATTTGTCTAAATGTATTTTTTTTATAATCTTAGGTGTTAATTGGGTATCAACATGTCACCAAAATCCACTTACAAGCTACATGTCTGTCTATTCTCCTGTCCTTCATGTGCACCACACACACACACACACACACACACACACACCATTGTTTGTCTCTGTGACCGCCCTTTCAACTGGGTATTGACGTGCGGCCTCAGCCCCAGCTGCTGCAGACACTGACTAAACTGCGGTGTTTTGTCAGAGTGCTCACTCTCCAGGGAACACGGAGACCAGTGTTGTAATTAGCGGGAGATGAGGCCAGCAGCAGGTGGGCTGCTCCTGCAGCGGGCCCCAGTGTTCCCAGGGGACACTTGGACGCGTGGCTAACCTGTAGGGCCTCTCTACCTGTGGCTTCAGATGCTGATAGTATATGTAGCGATGAAAGTGGGGTTGTTTTGGCCTATAATAAGAGACAGTCCTGATTCAATGTTGTAATAAAAAATACACAGGATATTAACAGTCCCAGTAAAAGGACAAAATAACTGCCAGAAAGAGAGTAATTTATTTGACTTAAAAATGCATTAAAACCACATTGAAATAAACCTTTTAGATACATACATTTCACAACGTTTGTGAATAGCAATCGCAAAATGAAAACAACAGCAGGTAAAAACCCCTCAGTCAATGTAATCAGTCACTAGAGGTGTATACTGGTTTACAGTGAGTTTTGCACTGCTACAGTATGACTCAGTATAAGGACAGCTCTCTGAATGTAGACAACAGTCTCACAGATGTGTGTGTGTGTGTGTGTGTGTGTGTTTTTATTCATGAGTGTCCATATGCACTGGTGTGTGCAGGTCTATGACGGACGCTGATGCTCCATCTGCATGCTCTGCTGATGAGTAAAGCCGTGAAATAGATCCAGCTGGAGATGTGTGGAGGAGCCTGAGGCCTCCTGGGAAATCATCCACACTTCCACCAGCACTGTGTCCACTTGTTTAGCACCCCAGAGAGCTATCAGTAAGTGGGTAATTGAATTTTGAGCACAAACACAGCCGTCAAGTGAGCGTGGACGTGTGTGTGTGTGTGTGTGTGAGAGAGAGAGATACTGGGGAGGGGTGTTTAGCAGTATGAACATGGTGGTGCTGTCATCTGGCCCTCTGGGGGATTGCACAGGAAGGATGAATGTTTAATCCATTAAATAACAATTACTGCCTGTGATGGTTCAGAGTGGTGGGAGCAGGGGGGGTGAGGTGGGGGGGCGGGTGACATGGCTGCACATCTCACGTGTCAGTGAGATTAGTTTTTTTCACGACACAAATCATCCTCACTCTTTTGCTCTCCCATTTTAACACACACACACACACACACACACACGTCTTCTCAATGGTTTATGCTCAGTAAGAAGAGATTGGGTCGGCAGTGTGTCCAATTAGAGTTGTTAGAGACTTGTAACCATTTAGGCTACTGCATGGACTTATTGTCAGAGCTGATCAATCAGACTGATTATGACAACAACAACAACAACAACAACAACAACCAGCTGTGTCCAAGAAATGGGCAAAATTGTGGAAAGAACCCTTTTTTCTTTCATCTTTTCTCAAACTACACTGTCAAAACGGAGAAATGTCAAGAAAAGACTACAAAGTGTTGACCTCATGCACACACCAAATAAAAGTCAAATACAATGTCACAGCTCTGTGTTTCTGAGACGTAAGTAAACTTGTCAACTCGTGTACCCTCTGTTACAGCAGCTGACATTAGATTTATAGAAGATCAACTATGGAACTGCACTGTTAACAATGTTGTTGACTTTTAATATATATATATTTTAAATTACAGAGGACTGTAGCGACCGAAATATGAAGCCACTGTAGTAAAAGGTAAACACACACACACACACACACACAGTGAAGCCAGTGTGACAGCGGAGTTGGACTCCTGATCCAAACCAAGTTTGCTGGCTGTGCTGTTCTCATGCTGCTCATACAATGGCCTGTGTATGGGAGCTGCCTGGTGACATTGCTTAATTAGGCAAAGAGTTGATTCGATTGCACTAATTGACAGCTAATTAAGGGAGTGAGGGCACATCAAACTGATGTTCCTCTGAACTGTGAGGCCTCCATTGGTAACAGTTAGTATTTTTTCTTGTAGTTTTATTTTTTTCCCATCAATGTTAACTCATATTTGTAATTTTTGGCCAACTATATTCTATATTTTTACAGACTACTTATTGTATTTTCTTTCCACTTTTAAACTATGTTTTAATCTGGAGGGATATTTCTCCACAGTTTTTAAATTTTGGTTTACATCTTTTATATTCTTTTATACTCATTTATTATTCCTACATTTCTAAATGTTTTGATTTATTTTGACTGGCACAGTTTTTTAGCTTGTTGGTGTTTTTTAGCTGTATTTTATGCTAATGCTAACAATTCCTGGCTCACATTTGTCTGTTTTTTTTTCTGTTATTATTCTATATTTTGGCTACATTTAAAAAAACAAAACAATTATTCTGATTATTTGAGCCACCAAACTGATGACATCATGGCCTCACCCCTCTGAGCCCACCTGCTCCTGCACAGGACAATTGTCCAGGTTTAGGACGCTGTCACAATTTATTAGCGGGACCTCAGGCTTTTGAGTTAAAGACGTTTGAGGCCCAACAGTTGAAGACCCGAGCAAGTCAGCTTAAATTTCTGTTTTTCTGTGGGATGGGGCCAACAGTCTCTGCGGGAGACGTGGAGCAGGCTGTCTTCATGTCCTCATGTCTTCATGTCTGCTGGTGCGGCCCATGTGAACCTGAAAGAAGGACAATTAGTGGCTTACTAGGGTCTCGGGGAGTTGAGCCTCGCGGGGTGTCCACTTGCCTGCTCGGCCCCAGTTCTGAGTTGCTGCCATGGCTGGAAACAGTCAGGGGCATTGTCTCACCTAATTACCCTGGGACCAGGGGCCCCCTTTTTGTGTTGCCCCTGCCATGCCTGTCCAATTCCCTTCTCCTGCCTAACTGCTCGCTCCTGTCCACTCTGAGAGTTTGCTAATTAGACGAGAAATGGCCGCAAGTAATTATGTCCACTCTCGTTAGAAGTGACCAGAGTGAGGAAAGTTTTGGTGCTGGGTTATTTGGGATGAAGAGGTGGAGCCCCCCCTCTCTCTCTTCCTCTGTCTCTCTCTCCTTCTCACTCTCTCTCTCTCTCCCCGTGTTTCCCAAAGTATCTTCCTCATTATGCCGATCACACATGTGCACATGCGGCAGGGGAATGCGGTGCACACAAGTCAGACAAACTTCAGAGCATAAAAAGATGCGCTCACACAGAAATGGAGACTATAGAACGGCAGTGGCATGAAGTTATTGCCCTAATTAATTCTTTGTGCCCATGGAGCCTACTGTTGAATCACCAGTGGTGCATTGTTGGGACTGTGAGGGCCTTTTGTTTCTTCACCTTAATGGGATGTTTTGATCAACGGCTGTTTGGTGACCCAGCTCTTCTTCCCCGAACCCAGAGCCCTGGGAAACGCAATTAGCCAGATTAGAAGAGCCGTCTCTGCCGCCGCAGACAAAAGACGGAGGAAAATCAGACAGAAGGAAACGATGTGGTCCAGACACTCGGCAAAAACACGTCTGAGCCACAGTGAGACGGTAGACAGAGTCCATATTTGACTAGATGCTGTTGTCCCTCATTAGTCTGAGGGATTGTGTCAAGGTCAGAAATCAGCGAATCATCTCCAAAGTATTTGAAATCACCTTTGTTCAAGGTGTCAAGAACTTTTACAAAACATACGACGTTCAGTTGACCTGAATGGTGCAGTGAGGCCTTTAATTCAGTCGTACTCTTCTATTATTAAAGGTAAATAACTCGATGTTTATCAAGAATGGTAAATACTATATATCAAAGAGTACAGCTAAAATTGAGTAAAACTATCTACCAAAAACAGATCAATATTTGAGTAAGATACAGCAAAAGCATCTCAGATTTGTCGCCAAAATTGTAAATAATAGAACTTTTTATGTGGCCACATGGAAACATTACAATTTATGAACTTCATTTAAAACACAATAAGTCCTACATTCATTGACTAAAGGAAATAAAAACACAAATCAGGGACATTTTCCCTGTGGGAAAATATTGAAATTACATTTACTTTTCTCCCCGCCTCTGCAGTAATCTCGCAGTATATACTAATATACTTTTTAAAATGATTGTTTTTCGGTGCAGGACTACGACGCTAGAAAATGTGTTGACGGTTCTATTCTCACACACACCTTTAGTGACGACAACGCAGTCACGTGACGTGAGTACAGCGATGCCACTGATCTCGCCTCAGATTACAGCGCAGCACTAAATCTGTCCGAACCTTCACTCCCGGCCCGGGTGAGGCGTCCACGGGTGAGACAAACGCTCCCGTGGGAGCGGGGTTTTTATTTATTTATTCATCACCACATGTCCCAGTGCTGATGAAGACACTGGACTCTCTGCGCGTCCTCTCATCTCCATAAAGTCTCCTGAGCGCCATCCCGGTCCCCAGCTGTCCAAACGTGTGCCGCAAATTATGTCCGAACGATTGAAAGTGCGCAATAATTGAATAATAGCTGATTAGAGGGGATTAGGTTTCGGGAGATGGACTTCAGGTTCTTTCGACATTGTGGTGGGTTTAAGTCGATGATGACGATGATGATAATCTTCGGATCCCGGAAGTCTTCGCTCTCACTTTCAGAAATCTGATTTATGCCCACGAACACTTTCAATGTGCGCCAAAGCTGGTTGCGTCTGTTAGCAGACGTGGGACAGAAACGCTTGAACCTCAGGAGCCAAATAAATCTGCCGCAACAATGTGCTCCACTATTTGCCCCACTGTTTTGTCTGCTGTTTAATTGCCACCTTGCCCTGTCCTAAAAAACCCCAGACTGGGACAATGTAGTCTTTATCATCTGACCCGAGTTAAAACCTAAAGCCCAATGGTCCAATCAACAGATGCGCTAAGACAAAGCCTAATTAGAATATGCAAATGAGCTGCTGTTGGCGCAAAGAGGGACGTTAGTGATGGAGCCGCAGTCCAGTGTTAACGGATCAATCACTGAGTGTTGATGGATTCACTAAGAGAAAAATGGGCTGTTGTGAGTTGGAGAGTTTTTCTGTTGACACGATCAATAATATTTATCTCTGCTGTTCTGCCAACAGACACACGACAAAGACGAAGGCGGGGAAAAAAATCACTGACGCCAAGAAAGAACAATCCAGATTTGTTTTAAAACCTAATTCCCTCTCAGAGTATCGTTTCCCCCTCAGATTCTTCCTCCTCTACTTACATTTTTTTGTCTAGATTTTTTCCATCAACAACGGAGTGTTTGTCATTTTATCAGAGCTTTGATTTTCATGTTAAATTATTTTTCTCTAAATAACTCGAAATTCCGGAAATCAAATCCAGGTCAGTTTTCTTTTTGACTTAAAGCTCAAACGTCAGAATTTTTTTCAAGTAACTTCTACTTTATAATTTATATAATAATATAAATCTTTCATCAGAATTATTTTCCTCACAGATTCCCAGAATTCTGGGATTAACGTAAAAAATAATCAGAATTTTGACATTATTTAAAAATTCTACCCTTTTCAACCAGAAACCTGATTCTTTTTTGAATATTTTCAATTTTTTTGATTTTATTTTTTAAACGACTGACAATCAAGAGAAAAAATCAGATTTTTCTCTTAGAATTTTGACTTGAATTTTACAATTTTAGAACGAATTCTTGTTTGAATTTTGACTCGTGTCTCTTGATTTAATTAAAAATCCTGATTTTGATGCAGTGTTTGATTTATATTAGTATATATAATTAACTTATCCTTGTAAAGTGTTAAGTCTTCAGACAGACATCGAGTCATTTAAAGTCAAAGTTTCGTTAGATGGATAGACCTTCATTAATCCACCGGGAGTTTCCTTCGGGAAATGTATTTGTGTTTGTCTGTTTTGACGATTATCAGAGATTTCTATTTTATTTTCAGTCGAAGCTTCTGAGGAGAGCTTGTGCCTCCTCTCCTGTGATTGGCTGACGCCTGTTGAATATAAACACAGCAGAGCTCCAGAGCAGCATCACTCCCACCGCCGCCGCGGACAGTTTTAGAGCAGGAGAGAAGAGAACAGACATGACGGGGAAAGAGGGAAGCGTGTTTTCAGACACTGAGAACAAACAGAAACCACCACCTGTGTCCCAGCATCCTCCTCCGCCCTGGAAGATGGCCCCCACGGTGCACCGGCGCACCGGCTTTGGCATCCAGGAGCTGCTGGGCCTCAACAAGGAGCCTCCCGCAGCGGTACCGCGGCGGCCCCTGGAGGCTCTGCCGCCGCGGACGCACCTGCTGGCTGCACGGACGGCCCTGGGCCACGGGCATCATGGGCTCGGGGTCGGTGTGAGTTTGCTGGGACCAGAGGGGATTCACTCCTTCTACAGTCAGCCCGCTTTTCTGGAGCAGGTGCTGTCGGAGGCGCAGAACGTTCACCTGCAGCCGCTGCACAGAGCCGCGCACCGGGAGGCGACGATGGAGGCGGCGCAATCCAGCTCCGGTGAGTCCGGGCCTGTGGTGGGTTTTTCTGCCGAGGGCGACGAATCAACGTTTTAGTTCACGAAGAGTTCACTAGTAGAATATTTATTTATTTTAACCCAGTTATTATTATTATTATTTTTACAGAATTGTCAAAACCGCACGTGTCGGTGACATGAATCCAAATAAATCAAATAATATCATCCTTCTGAAATATTATATTGATTAAAAACACATAAATTAATAACTATTATTTCGTAAATGAAAACAAAATTATAAAATATATAAACAATATTTCACTAACATAACGGATAAATGCGCGGCGAACGCCGATCAAAACGTAGTTATTACGGATGTCAACGTCTGGGTTATTTTATTTAGTCAAAAGGTCGAAATATAAACGACACACCGAATACTGACAAAAATATAATAATTAAATATCTGTCAGAATAAGAGACGGATTTATAAAAAAGTGCTCGTTTACCGCTGTCTAATATTTATCAATCAATTTATCAATTCATAACATTGTCAATAAACAGCAATTGTATTGCAACATGTAAATAAAAATGTTATTGTTTTATTAATATTATTATTATCTTTGTCAGATTCTGACGACATGAGTCTGTCTCCGGCTGAGCAGAAATTCTCCAAATCTTCTCTGAATCAGAGCAAGAAAAGAAAGAAACGACGGCACAGGTAAAACCACACTGAGTGAAATTAAATATTTATGTTGAAGAATTCTTTTTAAAACGTGTTTATTTTATCACTTTATGTTCGGGCCTTTGAATAATGTCATGCGGCGCCGTCAGAGGTGAAATATCTACGGAAGAGGAGCTGGGCCGCGTACTGTTTTACCACACCGTGTGTGTGTGTGTGTGTGTATACATACACACACACACACACACACATACAAGAATTGTATGTTTTATTTATTTGTACATACACGTTTTTTTATACAATTTTTTTTTCGTGTGGCTTTTATTTTTTAAAACCACCAATTTGTCTGACAGTTTGCAGTTTAGAATTTTCTTCCTAAAACGTTGTCCAAAAGAGATAGAAATTCAAATTTGTTGATCATCTTGTTATATTTGTTTTTTTTGTTTTAAAATACACAAAAATGAAAAAAATGGTTGTATTTTAATTGGAAAATTAATAAACTTATTACATAATTTAAGAGATTAAAATTTGTTTAAAGTAAATTTATTTTTATGTACAGGTAAAAAAAATGAAATGACAAAAAATACAAATGTTTAGCGTGTAAACCAATAAGCTCTAAAGATAAGTGACTAATCAGACAATTCTGACATTGTTTTGTTTCTTTCCCCTTTTCAGAACCATTTTCACCTCCTATCAGCTGGACGAGCTGGAGAAAGCCTTCAACGAAGCCCACTACCCTGATGTTTACGCCAGAGAGATGCTGTCTATGAAGACTGAACTGCCCGAGGACCGGATACAGGTGTGTTTGTGTGAAGTGATGGTGATGTGTCAAACACAGATGCAGGTGTACTGTATGTTCTACGGTCTATGGCAACGTTTCCCACACCTCTAAACATAAATCTGACAAAAGGTATATGTAATAAAATATAATATCCTTCAGGTTTAAATTACCTCATAATTGACTAAAATCTCTGCCTGTTTTGTTGAAGACAACACTAATATATTGGCAGGAATTGACGAAAAACACAAAGATCTTCAACAGCTCTGATTTTCTTTTTTTAGTTCTCATAGCTTTTTGCTGCCACCTGGCGGACAAGTTTTTAATTGTTCTGCCTGCCACGCATTTGCAAATTAAGAAAAATTATTTGCAAGATAAATAATATTTTTTCAGACCAATTAAGTGAAATTGGGTAACGTTCCGTGGCACACCTAATGATCTCTCACGGCACACTAGTGTGCCTCGGCCCAGTGGTTGGGAATCACTGGTCGATGGTACACAGTTGTTTCTTTCAGCTGGCGATGGTTATTTTGTCCTTCACTGTAGATCATTTCTAACAAGGTAGAATTACACTGTCTCCTGCACAGAGATATAAATCAGTGCCACTGTCATCATCATCCTTCTTATCATCATCATCATCATCATCATCCTGCTGCTCTCACATTAGCAGCCACTTCAGCCTCTCGGTGTAATTAGTTAATTTAGTTAAGAAGTCATCACCTCTCCCACAGTGAGACGAGGACCTGCAGCTCTGAAATGAAATGATAACTACGCAGAAATTAATAAGCAGAGGTCAGAGACCGAGCAGAGGAGCCGTGCCTGGCTGCTGCAGCTGTCAGCATTTTAATTTCCCATGATATTTGATCGCCTGTCTCCCATCGATCCCAACTGGAAATTAACTTATTTTTCAATCAGCCTCATCGCCCCTGGGGTCAAGACACACACACGTGCACTCTCTCTCTCACACACACACACAGAGATGCTGTCAGAAAGCATGATTGCTCATCTGAGGCCCATCTTTTTTATGAGATGAAGGTTATCATCAGATCTACCTGAATAGCTTCTCTGCCTCTGCTTTGATCGTTTTTAATTCCAGCTCTAAAAAACAGACACACACACACACGTACACACACAGTCCAAACCATTGCCTGCATTCACATTCAGTCTCTTCAGCCATTTTAGGATGCTCATGATTTGCTCATCCATATTCACCAGTTTCAGGCAGTGACATGGTGGAAAATCAATCCTGGCACTTGCAGAGCTCGAAGGGTAAAAATGCACATACGTACAAATACTACATTTGAACACAGTAGTAGTGTTAGTGCTGCTAGCCGTTAGTGCTAGTATTATGTCTGCAGATAGTGAGAAAATAAAATAAAACTACAAATTAGCCCCATATAAACACAAGCACTTAAAAATTACATCGTGATTTTAAATTCTGGATGTTGTCTTTCACAATTCCACCAGATGTCACTATTTTACTACTAACAGAATACACTATTTACGAGAACGTTATTCCGGTTCTTAAGATATACTGTAAACCCAATATGAAATGACGCTCGATTTATAAATGGTAGCATTTTATCTGAACGTATCAATGTTTTTTGTCATATTGAAGACATTTTAATGAATTAGATTTACCACGGAGGTAAAACCCTCTGTTATTAACAGGTGGACGTTAGGTATAAGTGCATACTGAATAATTATTGTCTCTGTCAATTGTTCCAGGTGTGGTTTCAGAACCGTCGAGCCAAGTGGAGGAAAAAGGAGAAGTGCTGGGGCCGCAGCAGTGTTATGGCCGAGTACGGTCTGTACGGAGCCATGGTCCGACATTCCATCCCTCTGCCTGACTCCATCCTCAAGTCGGCCAAGGATGGAGTCACGGAGTCCTACGCTCCATGGTTACTAGGTGAGCTGCTGGAGAACCGTGGTCAGGTTTCTGTGCCACAGCTTAAGTTGAGACTAAACCTAAAATCCGTCTGTGTGTTGGGATTTGGCCGAATTATGTAGCATTTCCTAAGATCATTCTGATCTTGGAACCAAAGCAGACTTTTATTGCAGAGTTTTTGTTTCCACAGAAATAAAAAGCCTACAGTATACCGTCCTTCGGAGCCAGCAAAGGCGGCTGTGTGTCAATAGAGGGCAACAGTCGATGCAGTGATAATCCTACTTCATCAGGACAGATTAGTTCAAATCTCCTGCATCACCTCATGTCAATTGATTATTTTAAATCAATTAGGAGGGTCTAATTGAATAAGATGCCCCGCCCTCTTTATTTGCTCTTGCACTCAGTTTCACTCAGTAACGTCATTGGAAAAAAAAGTCACAATTTAGACATTTGGCGTTCTCAGTTTTACACATTACATTTTCTGTTTGAAATATTATGTTGATGTAATAGCTATGATGACACGGGGGCGGAGGGAGTGGGGGTAAAGTCACATCACAACTTTATTCATGACATGTTAACTACACACTTTTTAAAGAGAAGTTTTATTTATTAGCTAGAAGGTCAGGTTTAAATTTAAGGCTCCTCCAGTCTACATGCCAGTGTGTCCTTTGAAATTAAAATAGTTCTGTACCACAAACTGTGATATAAGAATGATAAACTACAATTGTACTTAATTAGTGAAATCCATGCACTATTTAGTTAAAAGTGTCACCTTTATTTACTATTTTCGTCACCCATTATTCTCCTCTCGTCTTGTCAGGTATGCACAAGAAGTCAGTGGACACCACACACACTTCTTCAGGCTGCAAACCCAGTTTGATGACGCTGCAGCCGCACGCACCGGCACAAGAGCAACCAGTGAACAAGGTGAAGGAGTACGAGGAGGAGAAACAGAGGGAGGACACCGACTCCCTGCTTTCCAACCAGGAACTGAGAGAGAACAGTATCGCTGTACTGAGAGCGAAGGCCCTGCAGCACAGTGCCAAGATGTTGGGCAGCGCTTCTGGAAGAACGAACGGAAACGAAACACACAAAGAAGAGGGAGACGATCCGGAGACGGAGCAGGAAGTGTCGGAGGTGGAGAAGAGCAAGTGAGAAGTAAGGCTGAAGGACTTCCCCTCATTAGACGCAGCAGAGGCAGAACACAAACCGAACTTTTACTGTTTCTCAAACGGTGGGTCAGGACCTAAAGTGTGGTCCATCTGAGAACTAAACAAGAGCCCCACTCTATGTGTATATATGAATCAATGTGAGAGGCAGTTTTAGTTCCTGAAATTAAATTCCATTTACTGCACAAAACAACATTTCATTTTTGTTTAGCTAATTTTAGCGCTCCTCTACCACAGCAATAACATCACCTTATCTGCAAGGTCATTAGAAGTTGATGGTGACCTTTGACCTCTTTCTAATGGCAGATTTGAACTAAAAAATGTTCTTTTCTGCATAACAACTGAAAATGTTCCGAACCTAAAACTGTACATATGTTTATATTTCATATCAACTATCTGTGTCTGTCTTTGTATAAATGTTACTGTAGGCCAAATAAAAATGATTATTTAAAATCTCCTCACAAATGTGCCTTTATGCTGTACTCATGTTTAACTAACCAACTAACCAGAACATTAGTACAACATTTTTCCTCGTTAGAACCAGGTTTTGGTCCACCTAAGAATTCAGAGTCCTGTCCTTCAGCTAACAGTAAGGAGTGCACACCCAAAACACCACCAACAACAACACAGACGTCCTGTTACAATGAGACACATTTGGTTTTCTACATTTTACTGTCTCACTTTCTAAACAGCCTGAGGGATGAAACCTGTCTGCCTCAGCCTGGTCACATGAAATACTATTTACTATGTAGATGTTAGTTTAAAAGTTGAATAGTTTCAGGTTGATGTTTGCAGGGAGTTGATCTATGAGTGCTTCACAATGTCAGTCAAAAATTAAAAAAATCAAATCATTATAAATATATAATGTAATATAACATAATATACAGTATATTCAGTTTTTAAGACCAGATATTCCCATCTGAACTAGGGAAATTGACTGTGACCCTGTGAACATTCAAATTAATATTTTATTACACTATATTTCACTTATCTAACCATAAATTTGTGATAACAGTGTGAGCTACTGTGTCAAGCTGGTTGGGGGCTGTGCTGTTTGGGCGGGGTCCAAAAACTGGAAACTGGAAAAAACTGGACGAGTGTTTACGTCTACGAGGTTATGCCGATTGAAAAAAAAACATTCAGATCCACGTACACGTACGTGTTTGTTTGTGATTAAAAATATTTATATGTAAATGTACTTAAAAAAACCCCTTTCAGCTAAATTAGGTGAAAGGTGAACGTCAGATTCGTTGTCCCCGGATCATCTTTCACTTTCACTTTTAGATTTCCTGCACCTTTTTCTGCTCCCCCTTGTCCCTGTCCTCTCATCCCACCTCCTTCACCCTCCACCCCTTTACCCCACCCTACACTTATAAACGACGGGAATTCAAAGTCAAACACTATTTACTGCACTTTAACGCTACGGACTTTTCAGGATTTCCTCACAGGCTGTGACGCAGAGCTGGTCGGAACGGACAAGTTGCGTTGGGTTGCGTAAAAGTGAAGTGAACAAGCGAAAAAAAACCCAAACCCGGACATAACAGACCAGCAGCAGCAGCAACAACAACAAAGAAAGAATGTGGTTCGTTTCTCTCAGCTCTCGGATCCTCAGGTCCTATTCTCATGTTTTGGGTCGGAGGGGCTGCAACACCGCGGCTTTCATGCCAGAGGCTGCGGGCTTTGAGGGGGTTTCAAGCCGCTCGTCACTTCAGGACTTCTCCGTCTCTAATAGCGATACTTTCTGGTCCGCGGTGGCTCGACACAGGCTCAGCTGGATCAGCCCCTTCACAGCGGTCCAGGACTGCGATCTGAGCCAAGGCAGGATAAAATGGTTCGACGGAGGAAAACTCAACGTGTCCAGTAAGTTCGACTCTTTATCTCAACGACGACACTAGTTTTACGGAGGAGTTGTTTATCAAACATCCGCAACAAAGGTTTCACAACAAGACGTACCCGAGTCCTTAAATGCACCTTGTCGTACTTTGAACGCACCACTACAGTCTTCAGATAAGTGTATCTGATAAACTGTCATCTACAATCTATGTATTTGTGCGTGCGTGCGTGTTTGTGTGTGCGCGCGTGCGTGTGACTTCCAGTAAACTGTCTGGACCGTCATGTCCACACAAGTCCAGAGAGAGTGGCTCTGATCTGGGAGAAAGATGAGCCTGGCTCTGAGGTCAAGATCACCTACAGGTCAGCAAGCACATCCTAATCCTGTTACTAATAAATTATTCTGGGATTATATGACACTTCCGCTTTCCCATCACTGACACAAGTCCCACAGTATGTATTCATGAGCTTCCTGCTAAAATAGAATGTGATTGAACGTTAAATTTGAGTCACTAACTTGGCCCATGATTCTATACCTGCTGCAAGTGCTACATGCACTTTTTCTTTCTTTTGATGCTGTTGACATTTTTTGACAAGTTCTGATGCCAGTGTTTGATCAAGAGTTAATACACACTTCTATGTGTGTGTGTGTGTGTGTGTGCGTGTGTTGACTGCACTTACCTGAGAGTTGACCACTTGTATTCTTTCACAGGCAGCTGCTGGAGATGACGTGTCGCCTGGGTAATCTGTTGAGACGCCACGGTGTAAAAAAGGGCGACTGTGTCACCATCTATATGCCAGCCTGCCCCCTGGCAGTGGCGTCCATGTTGGCCTGTGCACGTATCGGTGCCGCCCACAACGTGGTGTTTGCTGGGTTCAGTGCCGAGGCTCTGTCAGAGCGAATCAGAGATGGTGAGACAATGAGTCATAATCAATGTTTAAATCCAATATGCATGTTACATCAGCAATGTATTACTATACACAATATATATTTGTTCTATTATTATTATTATTATTGTTGTTGTTGTTTGGCAGCAGAAGAGTCCACAAAGAACATCCATGTATACAAGGCCTAGTAATGTTCCTCCATTTTGACCAAATAAGCTGTTTTTATTTTTTAATTTTGTGCAATTAGGTGTCAATGATTAGTTGTTGATGAGTGCCATTGCTCTGTTCAGACAACTTGATCCTACGCAGACGTAGTCGGAGACGGATGAATAGTCTTAAACCCGCCCTGGCGGTTTAATCTCCAATCACGTCTGCTGCCGTTATCTGTCACATCAACAACTAACGTTAGACTTGCAAATAAATATATAAATGTTGATTTAAGTTATGTCATTACTTGTAAGAACACATACCCTGTAGTGTAAGGCTAGCTCACAACATCAGAACACTTAATCTAAAATAGTCAATTTCGTAAATCCATCTATTATGTAGAAGGATGGACTGAATTCATATTAATTATTTGTTAAATGATTAGTACATTTAAATATTTGCTCGTCCTTCTGTTGAGTTGCACAACCTGTTAGTGGTTACACAGGGTTTATTTCAACAGCCCTTTGAGAAGTTGCCAACGTTTTTAACAGTCAAAGTGGCCACATTGGTTGATGTTGTGTAGTGAACACGGGGACTTTCATTGTTTTAGCTAGGACTTCCCTCGGCAGAACCAAAGTTCAGACAAACAAAGGAAATCAATGCAGAGGTGAATAATCTTTATTCTTTTCTGTCAACATCTTCCAGCCCAGTCCACTGTGGTCATCACAGTAAACCAGGGCGTCAGAGGAGGAAGAGTCATAGAGCTGAAGAAGACCGTGGACACAGCCGTCCAAAGCTGTCCTACTGTGAAGCAGGTTTTTGTGGCCATGAGGACAGAGAATCCCGTCATTATGACGGACAGAGATGTTCCCATGGAAGAGGTGAGAAATCAGTCAGAAAGCCATGTTGGCCACACTGTCATTCTGCCCCATCAGACTGGCTCCTCAATTCAAATGAATGCTTCAATCCCCTGCAGGAGATGATGAAGGAGGCTGTGGTGTGTGAACCGGCTGCCATGGACAGTGAAGACATTTTATTCTTACTCTACACATCAGGCAGCACAGGGAAACCTAAGGGACTGGTCCACACTCAGGCTGGATATCTGCTGTATGCTGCTCTCACACACAGGGTACGGTTGTAGAAATGACTGAGGTTAGAGAATGGTTTGAGAAGACTGTTCCAAGTTTTAAACTGACTATTGGTACTATATTCATTAGATGTTTATTGTTGACGGTACATATTTTTAATTTAATTCTTTTAAAAATGTGAACCTTACAGCTTTGAATGTTAATTCTTTTTGCTGTGTTTTTGTTACCTTGTTTTTACTGGTTTCTGTTCCTGTCACCAGTTAAGTCAATAAACTCCTTCAGCTTTCAATATTTACCTAAAAGTCATTTTATCAGTTTCTTTCTCGCTCACTATATCTCATTATCTTATCAGTATGCTCTTGTCACCAGTACATCTATAGGTTTCATCATGTTCCAAAGTATTTTTATCTGTTTTTTTTAACACCCCATGCCATTATCTTATCAGTCTCCCCTCTCGTCAACAGTACGTCTTCAGTTATAATGATGGAGACATTTTCGGCTGTGTGGCTGATATTGGCTGGATTACGGGCCACAGTTATGCTGTATACGGACCACTGGCCAACGGCGGAACTACGGTTTTGTTTGAGAGCACTCCAATCTACCCTGACCCAGGTAAAAATGAGAAATATTTCACACACAGGTTAAACAGCTAACAATCAAGACAGAACACAATAGCACAGTTGCTGGTCAGGTGTCATAAGTTGCTCTACATGTGATCCATGTGATGTCATAGAATTGGATATGAGCCCTACTGAGGCTCTGCTTATTTCAAATCTGGCTGCAGCTCTTGTTATAGATTTGAATTTATGTCTCTGATGACTGCACTGGTCTCAGTCATTATCACTATGTTTGCAATGTTAATGCGTTACTTACTAATGTGGCACAAATGCTCACTACAACTGATTATGTATTAAGTGTCAGTTGGTCAAGGTCAGGTGATACACTTCTGACCTTTTGAACTTTAAGGTACTGGTTTGACGAGTCAATAAAATAATAAAAAAGTGCACCAGGACGTGCCATCATCCTACTTTATAAGCATCAGTGCTGACATTTTGTGATGTGGATATAAAATGTAATATTCTGTGTTAAGAGTTTCATTGACCACTGCCAGCAGCTGTGCTCCACCTTGTCGTTGTCTATGAATAGCTGTTTACAGTTGAACCTTTGACACTGCTTATGTATAAACAGTCTGCAGTGTTGTTGTGAAGGTGGAACTGCTGACAACAACACAGCAATATTGAGGTGAAAGTCATGCTCCAAGAAGGAGAGTTATTTATGTTCATCAGTAACAAAGACATGCTTTTGTTGGTTCACAGGAAGGTACTGGGAGATGGTTCAAAGACTGAAGATTAACCAGTTTTATGGAGCACCAACAGCCATCCGCCTCTTGCTGAAGTACGGAAACCATTGGGTGCAAAAATACGACCGCTCCACCCTCAAAACTCTGGGCACCGGTATGAAAGAGTTGCTGAAATTATCGTCATCTAATGTAAACATTTGTGTTGTGTAACAGTTTTGCACAGGCCAGCTGCTGGTGCATCATTGTGTTACGTTTACTTCTGAGAGGCAACAGTTATTACTCAAAGAGGCTGTAGTAAAACTTTACTGGGAACTTTTAAACTTTAGTAGAGTGCAGAGCACAAATACATAAACAAGTAGTTTATTTTTGTAGTTTCCATCTCCGTTAGGCAACTATATCACTGTAATGGAAAGTTCCTGTGGAAAAGTGACCCTTCTGTGTCACAACATGCAAGTATATGTGTCGGGTCAAGGGTCTAAGTGGGTCACAACAAAAGATCTGTGACAAAAGCTTTAGATGGTTTCATTCAGAAACATATTTAGTGTCTGTGAACAGGGTTAGGAAAAAAAAGATGTAATCAATTTAGGTTGGATTTCATTTAGAAATATCCATTGCAATATCAAATCATACCAGTGACGTGCAGTCAGATTCATGGCTGCTCAGGCACTGACTCCTCTGGAGTCAGATTTACAATTGTAAGAACCGAAAAGAGCAACTTATTTCACTATTCATCCAACAGCATCACCTGGTAATGCTTCATATCCATCAGCATTCCTCTTTCAATGACAGTGACACCAACACAAACATATACACAGGAACATATTTGTCCTACAAACAATGTTTCTTTTATAGAAATGGACAGAGCCCCTTCTTGTGTCTGAGCAAGTCATATTTACTGTAAACAAATTAAAGTATAGAGCTGAGTGCAGCACAGATTTTGACATTCAGTAAAAATTTCAGTTATTTTTCAAACTTTAAATTCTGGTGTTTTAATCAAAATGAGGAGAATAAAAAATATTTAGGCCAAACATTTAGTTATCAAATACTTAAATTTTTTCTACTTACTTCTATCTTATTTTTCAAAAACAAAAACGTAAAACCATTTTTAGCCTTACCTTTACTCATAGATGAAGTCCATGGTTGTTTCTGTCGGTTTTCCCTCACCGTAGCATTGTGAACGCTGTTTAGTCTCCGTTGTTCAGTCTCCGTTGTTCATCCAATGTCAAATCGATCCTTGAATTTGAAAGCAACAAAGACACACAGCCTCCATTTTAAAAAACGACTCTGCTGCCCCCTAGTTGGAAGAAAACCTTTTAGCTCCGGCGTTGGTCTCCATCTTGAAATCCACTCCATAGTGAGTCGGATCATGCAGCGCAGACTAGCTGTAGCTTGACGCCGACTTTCAATTGCCTGTTGACGTCAGCAGAAGAGCACCTGTCAGTTCACACACGACCCCTTGAGGTGAGATAGAGTACTGTTTGCCTCCCCTGCTGACTTCTCTGCACTTCATTGGCTGCCGGTTAGCTTTTATTTTGAAAGTTTTTTTTTTTTTACTGCACTCCTATATAAAAATATATAGCAGTTTTCATTCGTTTTATTTCAAGTGAACATACCTGCATTGGTTCCCTGAGTGACTCTGTTCTTGTGTTCCCGCAGTGGGTGAGCCAATCAACACCGAAGCATGGCAGTGGTACTACAGTGTGGTCGGGGACAAGCGGTGTCCTGTGGTGGATACATGGTGGCAAACAGGTGAATGGGAACACACTGATGTTACTGTTTAAATAATCCAAAAGTCACATTACATCTTTTTATCTCACACATTTGAGTTTGTTCTGGCTATATTCTAATCTTTACACCCACTGTCAACTACATTTTGGGTGGAGCTGAGATCAGGTCTCTGCAGACACACGTGTCGCCTAGTCTGTAGTGATAGTACTGTAGTTCCCTGTAGTACACAGAAGTCTGTAAAGGCTTCAAGGTGACTCTGCAAAGGGCAGCTCAGTTCACTCACTCAACCTTAAACAGAGCCACGTCTGCAGGATCTGTAGAAAAAAACCCACACTCTTATATAACACATGAGCCACATGAGTGCACACGCACACATTCACACAAACAAAGCGGAGAGAAGTGGAGGAGAATAACCTTGAGAGCAAAGCTTTTGAATTTAAAACCAGCAACAATATAAACAACATTAGGAAGGAGGGAGAAATATCTCTGTGTCAAACGCTCACGTTGGTTTAAGACTTATTAATATGTTATGACTGTAATGTTTCCAAGCTGCCAAAGCAGCCAGTCGAACAGGAACATCTGGACAATCTCACAGCGCTCTGAACCTCAGAAGAGTCTTCAGCTGGAAACCTCACATGCACTCAGATAAAATAAAAAAGAGTTGTTTAGCATCTTAAATACCCACAGAGAATGAAAAAGATAGTGGTTTTTGTTTCCTAATGATTTTGACCACCAGATACCAGTTAGAAGCATCACAGGTATAGTTATAAATACAGTTATAGGAAATGAACGTGTCCATCTGCTGGACGGAAGAACAAACTACAAACAGTTGAAGACAGAAGTAAACAAAGGAAAATAACAGGTTTGCAGAAAGAAGCAGAATTTCTGTTGTGGACAAAGTTTAATATATATAGTCTTAGTTTTTTAATATAGAGGACCTTAACTTAGTATTCAGTTCAGAGAACAATCAAGCCTGGGATATACTAGGGAAGATAAATTAAAAGGATTTATATTTTCATGCATTTAGCAGATACTTTAATGGAGGGACTTGGTGGTTACTCTGGGAATCTGACCAAGAACTCTTAGCTTTGTAAACAGACGTGCTAACAACTACACTGTGGAACCAGCTGTGTCTTTTGTGTGAACACAGAATTATCAGCTCCAGGTCTAATCCCCAGTCTCTCAGATTAGAAAGGACCAAATGGCAACAAATCTGCCGTAGTCAGAGACAAAAACCAAAAATAACAACAAAAAATATAACTGACGATAATTCAACACCAGAGCGTTGTGGGTTTGGGATTTACTGACACAGATATGACCCAGATATCCTGATTCACTAACTAAGGATTACGGTTTAATCTCATTTTCCTGCACCAGTTTCTCTAATTAAGACTAAGTGACTTTATATTTATAAAATCCATTTTGTGGATCTGCAAATGAGTGGCTTAATTAGAAGCCAGATTATATGCTGATCTGTTGTTGGCCTCAGGCCTGTATGTTGGACTGAGGATGTAAGGGGGTTAAACACAGCAAAAATCTGCAGAAGACTAAAACATGTCCTGTTTTTATCTTCTTTGTCCACAGAGACCGGTGGCATCTGCATCGCACCCAGGCCTTCGCAACCAGACGCAGAGATTGTCCCAGGAATGGCCATGAGACCTTTTTTTGGGATAAAGCCAGTGCTCATGGACAGTGAGGTACCGTTCTCATCCCTGTGTGTGTTTCTGTGTGTGTTCAATGACGTTGCCCCACAGCAATGGGTCAGACGAAGGATTATAGAACAGTTGCAACTCTTCAACACCCCCTCTGTTCCCACAATCAGTCTCTTTCTCTCTGTGCCAAACCTCCGGTCACAATCTGTCCTGCTGCTCCGTATCGACTGCAGTTTGTCACGCTAGTGTGATGCACAGGTTGTGCAGACAGGTGGCGTGGTGTCCCACATCACAAACGTACAAAAACAGACGAGCAGCATTTTGAAAACCTAGGATTAAATTGATGTTGATGCTGAAACGGTAAGTGAACAGTTGATTGGTCAATCAGTGTGTTCTGGATAGGTTGGAACAAAAACCTGCAGCCACAGCGCCCCTTTGTGGAACGAATTGCCCACCAACCCACAGTAATACTAATGGTAGTCAGTTATTGTGTTAAAATTGTTAAATGTAAAATAAAAAAAACGTTTTCAATACGTGCTTTTTTTCTTATCCATTCATAATGTGTTGTTTGTGATTTCCTCAGGGTAAAGTTGCCACCTCTAACAACACGTCTGGAGCTCTGTGCATCGCTCAGCCTTGGCCTGGAATGGCCCGAACAATTCACAACGACCACCAGAGATTCACTGCCACCTACTGTCAGCCGTATCCTGGTAAGGGGACGTGTTTACATGAGTACCAGTACCAGTACCAGTACTAGTACTGGTTCTGGTACTGATGTTGGTGCAGCACTGGTTTAACTCTGTGTTCCTCACGTCAGGTTATTTCTTCACTGGTGATGGAGCATACCGATCTGAAGAAGGATATTACCAGATCACCGGGCGCCTTGATGATGTCATCAACGTGAGCGGCCACAGAATTGGAACAGCCGAGATCGAAGATGTAGTGGTACGGTCACTTTTTGTTCCCTGAACTGAACTTCCATATATTTAGAAACTGAAGGTCAGAAATACTCAGCTCTGATTGTGACTTCTTTAACAGAATCAGTGTCCAGCTGTGGCTGAGTCTGCAGTCATAGGATATTCACACAACATTAAAGGACAAGGTGAGCAGCTGTAGTTACCAGTAATTAAGGTGTAGTGGTGCCCCGAGATACGAGTTTTCCACGAATAAGCAACTTTTGCAAGACTTTCTTTAATTAAATTTTGATTTCATTAATTAATAGTATATTTCTTAATGCAGTTTCTATTGATTCTAGTGTCATTGACAGAAGCTAAATTATAACCTTTAGTTGTTTTTCATCAACTTTCAGGCTTATTTCAACACTAATACTGAAAAAAAAAACATTTTAACATTTCAGAATAAAAAAAGAAACAGACAGAATAGTTTCCTCGACCTGAGTCTCATTGGTGTAAGAACTGTATCAGCATCTGATGGCCCTTTTCCTTCACTATTTTCTTCTTCTAGGTGTTTATGCCTTTGTGGTGCTAAAAAAGAGCGTGGACACCAAGGAGCAAGAACTAAGTTGCCAACTCTAAGACATGGTTTCTCAAAAGATCGCCAAGTACGCCTGTCCGGACGGCATCCAGGTAAATCTGTTTCACTCAATTAATATGTAAACCATCGGAAACATGTTTTTCACTCTTATGTACTAGAAATATTTCTAGTTTAGAGAATTCTAGGGGAAAACAGCTTTGGATAATTACGTTTTATCAACGTTTATTGACATTAAATGTCTAAAATGTAGATTTTAAATCAGAAAAATAAACAAACCTGGAGCAGAAGATTAACAATATATCATCCCTGATGCTCTTTATCGATTTCAAAAAAAAGTCTTATATTTTAAAGGTTTCATTTAGGGGTTAAAGAAGATGCTTGATGTATCTATTTATTGAAGTGATTTTTTGACACTGATTTTAGAAAATACAAAACTATGCGCAATGTAAAAAAAAAAAAATCTAATTTCTATTTCTGTCATTTTCACAGTTTGCACAACGTCTTCCTAAAACGCGATCGGGAAAGATCATGCGGCGGGTGCTGCGGAAGGTCGTGGAGTGTGAAACGGACACATTGGGAGACCTCAGCACGCTGGACGACCCCACCGTGGTTGAAGAGATCATCCAAGGTCACAGTGAGCTCAAAGAAAAGCAGCCATCTAAATGAAGTGTTTACTACTTAGTCTTACTTCAGCCGGAACTTGAAGATACGCTAAAGACGTTCATTGAACTAATGATTATGAATCAAAACTTACTGTTTTCGACCAAATTATTATTTTTTTATTGCACATGTAAAAGTTTAACAAATCCTCTAAACAAATGTTGTTAATGTCCAGGCAGTGTTTAGAAAACAGGACAGCAGTCATTGTACGACAATATTTTGTGTGTAATGTAAACAATAAACCACTGTGATTTTACATAAGAGTGGTCAAACTCACGCTGACTGTTATTCACTGCGTTGTTCTGCCAGTTCCACACTGTTGCCTTTGTTGTTCACACCTTATGTATTCACAGCAAAGTCAGTGAGGGGTTACAGCATGTCCGCCCTCAAAACACACAAAATGTAAGTACAAAAAGACTGGTGTACTTCACATTTGGGTGTCCTTTTTTTTTTTAGAAGCAGCTGAGTGCAGAAAGTGAGCAATTGAGTGTTGTCACTACTCACTGTAAGATCTTTAGGTAAAGAATCACTTGGTCTCATCTCTGCTGCTGCTCTCACCTCCTTTTAACCGAGTAAACTCCCACTGACCTCCTCCACACAGCTGAAGCTGGACAACGTGGTACTGTTGGAGAAATGATTAAAAAAAGTCACAAGGGATAAACCTTTAAAGTGTACATATGTGTGTATATGTTTGTTTGTATACAAGGTTATATATATATATATATTTCTTTTTAGGTGTGAGCCACCAGTGCTTTGACAGAAGAGGCAGAGGGGAAGCTGTACAGAACCTGTAAGCAGCTCATCAGTCTGGGACACTTAAGCAGCGTGGAGAGGGAGAGTGTATGTGTGTGCGTGTGTATGCGTTTATGTGTGGGTCTATATTTATATAGATCCATACATATACGTATGCATACACACATGCATGCATACGCACACACATATACGCACACACAGAGACAGACACGTGCACCCATGGATTACGAGGTCCTTTATTCGTCTCACAATGGAGGAATTCACAGAACATATACATACAAAGGTAATAAATAAAAAATTATATATACACTCATCAGTGTTTGTGTGTATGTGCGTATGCATGCATATGTGTATGAATGTGTGTATGTATGCGTATATGTACACATGCATGGGCGTATGTATGCATGTGTATATACTGTATGGATCTACATAAATATAGACCCATACATACATACCAACACATACAGACACACACACACACACACACTCACCTTCTCCAGACTGCTGCGGTGTCCCAGACTGATGAGCGTCATCCCCAGCTGCTTACAGGTTCTGTACAGCTTCCCCTCTGCCTCTTCTGTCAAAGCACTGGTGGCTTCATCCAAAACTGTTTTCAGAGAGAAATAAAATCATATTACAAAACAATAATAAAGACAACAAGTGTTCTTCACAGGGACATATTAACAGAAACAGACAAATACTGTGGTGGAATGGTGAGTTTTCACTGGTTTTTGAAGGAACTTAAGTCTAAGAAGAGAGGGCATCCAACCAGATTTTTGTTAGATACAACATGTTTCTCCATTACCAGTAGAAACAATGTTCTTTAACGGACATAGCATATTTTAGTTCTGTCAATCAGTCGTAGTTTGCATTTAAATATATTGGTTCTTAGCAAGTTTTAGTATTTTCTCTCGTTAGCACAAGTAAATAAATTAATCAAATCTAATAAACAATGGTTCTGACTAGTTTTTAAAACACAGTCACTAAATGGATCAAGTTTTGTTTTTTTAACTCACCTGCATATTTGGGCTGCAGGTAGAAAAGTCGAGCAAAGCTGAGACGCTGCATTTCACCTGGCGACAGAACGTCATACCTGCAGGAGAGAAAGAGAGAAAGTTTACACACACACACACACACACAAATACAACCAAACGACTTCCTGTTATGGCTCTCACCAGTTCCAGTCCACATCTTCATCCAGACCACCGGTCCGCTTCAGGAGACTGGACTGAACAGAGAGACAATTAGAATAAAAATGAAGGAAATACACTTTAAAATTAAATGTATTGATCAGGTAGATGTAGACAAAATGATGTACTCACCACTCCTGCTAATTCCAGGAATTGTATGATCCGGTCATCGTCCACTGACCCTGAGGAAGATTCTTAGGATCAAAACTACAAATATCACTTGTTTGAATCAGAAATCATTTTGTCACACAATGTAGCATCAATACAGAGAAAGTAGGATTATTAAGAAGTGAAAATGAAAAGATGAGCCATTGTTTGTGGTTATTGTTGTGTAATAAATATTTTTTAAAAATATATGTCTGAAGCCAAAAAAAAAACAAACTATGTTCCAGTGGTTAGATTACAGGAACAAAAAAAAACAATTTCTTTGAGAATAGACCATGGAAGAAATCCATTGACCAAGGTGAAGTTTTGTGAAATCAAAACATTATTAAGACAGGAAACATCTTCTGCAGCGCTTGAAGAAATGCTGTACATACATCTGATCGTTTCTTTGACTCAACTATTATAAACATTCAACATCAATCAGCACCGTAAAACTCTTAATGCAACACAGAGTAAATGAAGCTTGGGTAAAAGGAGAACTTTTCACCTGACACAGGATAAATGTCCTTAAGTGGATAGATGACCTGTTGGAGAACAGTCAGAAAGTCAGAGGAAATCTTAAATGTTTTTTTTTCTTTTTTTACTAAAGATCTCATTCATTTCACATCCACTCAAATGAAAACTGACATAACAGAGGAAGAGGAGACCGAACCTGTTCTCGCAGTGTTCCATCAGTCAGGTAGGGTTTCTGGGGAAGGAAGAGGGTTCCCCTGGGTCCAAAACATGTCGTCATCTGGACGAAACCTGGACAGAAAGAAAAAGTGTGAGGAAATCTACATGGGTTTTAACGCATCTGACTATGGTTGTGTTGAATATTTAAATATTAACAAGAGGTATGAATTTTTGTTTTTAGCCTCATCTAATCTGTAACAGTACAAGTGCAGGTGGATACAGTGAATGTTGTAATGAATGTACACCTGTCTGAAACCTTTGCACAGTACAGTAATGTGTTTAAACTGTTAATTTCCATAGAGATTAGGTGAAGCAACAAGAAGAGGAAAGTAAGACGACCTGGAACCACAGACTAAATATTAAGACAGTTACACGTGTGCACGCACGATAAAATCCAGTAACATTAAACATTCTTTGGTCTCATTCTCTCACCACTGTCCGCCTCCCACAGTCGGTTCAGAACCCTGAGCAGGGATGTTTTGCCGGTTCCCGTGTTTCCCACCACCAGCAGATGCGACCCCTGGCTGATCGTAAGACTCAGGTCTTCAACCAGCAGCTGTTCAGAGTACGGAGATTTGTAGGAAAGGTGGTCAATGATGAAGGCGGTGTCCACTGGGCCTGCATGGATGTTGAAGTCACTGTGGACGGGATTGAGGGAATAAAAACAGAGGTTACATCCTGATCAACTCTGAAGCCGTCGACTTCGTTTCTTTAACTGTAAATGACTGTCAGTTGTATTAAGGCACACAAGAAAATTCACAAACCTGTCAAAGTCGTAGTTTTCTCCTGACGCTGGGTCGTAGTCACACTGCGTGTGGAGGATTTTGTCCATCTCCTCAATCAGCTCGCCAATCCTGAAAGCACACACAGACAGAAACTAGTTTGATTGTTTTGTGAGGACTTCACAAAAACAAATCTCCTCCTCGGTCTTCCTCTTCTCCTCTTTCTTGGTAACTCCATCTCTAAACACCTCTGTCCAGTATATCCACTATCTTTTAGAGAAGGGTGGGCTTTGTTACCTGTGTGTGTATCCAGCCACATCTGACAGAGTGGTTGACAGGTCTATTATCTGAGTGAAGCCATTGATCAGGTAGATGCAGACAAAGGCGTTCTGAGGTTTTGGAGAAATGTAACAGTGATCAAGGAATAAAGACACATTTCTCGCCGTTTTCTGAAAGTTTTATTAAAACTGTATATCTACTAATTTGACCGTAAAGACATGAGACGGTTTCTGCGACAACACGCGTAAAGTTTACTTTACAAGTTTATTGCTGCCATCTAGTGGCCATTTAGTGGCTAAACACACTGTTAGTTAGTGTATGTTTTCGTGTGAACTAAAATAACATACGGAGCTTTCTATTTCCGGCTCTGAAAAAGTCTGAAGTCACTGTGTACGTTACACATCACATCATGACTAACAAATTATGACTTTACTCTATTTTCTTCTATAAAGTTTTGACTTTACTCATACATTTACAACTTTTTGTTGTTGTTCTCAATGTGGCCATAATACTGTTGTACAACCCAAGGTCATCCTTTTATGATTCATTTGAAATCTTTAATGGTAAAAACAACAGACAACTGAAGAAACTGACCTTACTGATGAGGGCACTGAGTTCTCCAGGAGACAGACCATCGTAGACACCAGTGAAGATGGGAATGGCAATGATAACGTAGCTGAGAAAACCTCCCAGGTAATCAAACATGTTCACCCCAACTATAAGACGAGAGGTCAGAGGTTAACTCCCAAAAAGGTCCAGCATGGGTTTTTGAATCAAACTGACTGTTTACCTCTTCCGTGATTCATTAGAGAGTAAAAAAAACTATGATAAGAAATACTTCTTCTCATTGATCAAGTTACTCTGTTGCAAAAGCAGAATAGTTTTTTAGCTTTAAGAAACAAAGGTTAAAATAAGTTCTTCCAATGAATGTTGGGAAATAGCTTTAGTTCTGGTTCAATGTCTTTATATATATATATATATATTTGACTTATATAGAGAGACATACTGCATGTATGTGTATATATATAAATATATATATATATATGAGCAGTGCCATGAGCTTAGCATATTAACAGACAAGAGTATGTGGGATGGTCTTACTATAGAGCCAGAGTTCTTTGTTGATCAAAGTTGTTTGAGTTTGTAACAGGGCCTGAAGTCTTCTGTTGGTCCTCATGTGCTCCACTTTACCAGCTCTGAAAACACAACGACCATAACATGGTAATAAGAATGAAGATAATAGCAATAACAACAATGACTTTCCTTTGTGCTTTTGTTATTATTGTAATCATCATCTGCTGACTACTAGAATTCTACCCAAACATGTCTGTTGAGAACATAGGGATATGCTGGTTATCCTGGCTGAACTTAGCCTCAGGTCAGTTGCATTAAAGCAGGTCAAATTGAACCGGGTCAAGTTCACCTGTATTTCTACCATCAGTCCTTTAAAGAATTCATTAATATGTTTCATTATTTCAATCCTCCTGCATTAAAATATCACAAATATACATTGCTATTATTTGTAATTATGTAATTGCAACAGACATTTTATATTGATTCAAGTGGTATTATAATTACACAGGCCATGCTAATGGCCAATATTATATTATATACATATATAATTATGGCTGCACATTCTGTTTCAGGTCAGAACCTTTTAAATGTCCTCACCTGTAAAAAGCTGCAGACTCTGCGTTGACACGGATTTGCATATGTTTAAATCTGCAAAAAACAAGACAACAAGACAAGCCAATGTTTTTATATTTATTTTATTTTCATCAGCAGGGTTCCTTGAACTTCTTGTCAACAACATACTCTACACAATCACATTTCAGTTCAAATGACCAAACTCAACCTTTTCAAACCAACACATCTCCTGTGGTATTTCCTAAGAGACCAAAAGTCAACAGGGCCAGAGTTTACAGAAACGTCCTCTTCACTAGAGAAGTGAACTGAAAACTGAACTGATATTTATCAAATGGAGCTGTAAAAACACCAGTGCCTCCTGTTGAAGGTTGGAGTAAAACACACACTGGGGATGATTGGTCTGGGAACTCCTGAACAAAAGCTTATTAACAATTCACCAAATACTTTTGCAAGGACACGTTTACATTAAGTTACAGAATACGTAACCTCAATTTTTGGATCGTTAAAATAAACTGATGAGGAACTTTATGTCAACATTCATATAAAATCAGGGCAAGAAAAAAAATGTGCAACTCTTCACCTTTGACTGGACCTTACCTGAAATCTCCCTCCAGTTTTTCTTGCTCAAACAGAGTTGATACAATCGGACCCATCAAGATTTTATTGGCAATGGTTCCGATCAAGAAGTATCCAAAGATGCTGACGGGACCGATCCAGCCGGTGCTGAAAGAAAAGTAGACTTTACTTCATCTGCACTTCACTACTAAACAAGCACAGTTAAGATAAAAATAAATCTTACTTTGCTGTACTACAATACATGCAGTATAGATGTATGTAAATGCCTACAATGCTAGTTAAAAATACCTATTACCAAAATACAAAGAAATAGAAAATTAATATCAAACTAAGAGTAAAATTCAGTTTAATATTTGAAGTTCAGTTTAAAATGGTGGAAAACTTTAGGGACTGACATCCAGTGTTTAGGTGTAAATATAAGTGAGAATTTTGTCATTTAACACAGAAAACAAAACACAGGCAGCTGAGAATTTTGGTGCCCTGGGATTTGAACCAGCAGAAAGAAAAACAATCCTAAATCTGCTGGGTTTTTTGTACCTGAAGGGCAGATTTGTAAAGGAAGACCATCTAAAAGGTTTTAGTTCCACCCAAGGCTTCAACATTAACACAGTTTTTTGTGGTTATTTTCCCACACCTTTGAAAATAATGCCACTATTAACTCCGCCATGTCTACCATGCGATGAATGTGTTTAATTCACTTAGCTTTCATAAGTTTCAAATTATTTTATTTTATTTATACTTTTTATTAATCAAAGTCATCAGAGATATGGAGGTTTGTTTTCTCTGAAATGTTGAAGAATCTGTTTTACTGAGAGGCCGTGACCTCAGAAACAGATCTTGTGATTTTCTTCAGTGTTTCCTCAATTTCTTGCCTGCGTTTCACATAAATGACCCTCAAACGAAACCAACTGTCAACGATGTTGCAACAATGTCGTAATATCCTTGTGTTCGTGTGTGCATTTGTGTCACCTGTAATAGCAGTGATAGGTGTAGTAGGTCAGTGTGAAGGGTGAGACGATCAAACGACTGGCCATGGAGCTCATCTGTTTACACAGACGCTCTGCATCCTGGCTGATCCTCTGGTCCCTGGTGTAGGAAAACAAAAAACAAAAGGACAAACATTCAGTTTTCTACTGCGGACTCACACTGTTGACACATCTGTGAGGAAAACACTGAGTCTTTTAATGTGTTAAATACACTCACGTCATTAATTAAGTAAGCACAAAGAGCTGAAACTTACGGGTTGTCAATGTCCTCTCTGAGCACATTGAGTGTATAATAGACCCGGCCCTGGAAGTAGGCTGTGTGAAGGCTCTCAGTCAGAGTCTTCCTCCAGCTCACATACATCCGATTACAAATGTACTGGTCCACACTCTTCAGCTGGAAATGGTAAAAAGAAGAACAACGATATGGTGAAGCAAACAAATGATTTATAATTTAAAATTAAGCCTAAAATTCATTGGCGCCTAATGGTGGTTTATATTATGGAAAAAAGGCAGCAATACATCAAAAATGTCACAGAAAAGTCTCCCATTGTTTCCTGATGTTGTCAATGTCATACTTCTATAATCTCTGTCTCCTCCTCATTGTTATCAAACACAAGTGGTCGATAGCCTGAGTAAAAATAAACAGTAAACGCTGAGTGGAAAACTGGTTTCCCTGGAGAAAACAGATTTATCAGGTTCAAACTCCACACAGTGACAGTGCGACAGCTATAAAATGATGAGGCCAGGTTGACTTGACCTGATAAAGGCAATAGGTCACAGCACATATCTGAAGTCTTATATATACAGTATACCGGTATATATATGTAAGAAGTGGATGTAGCCCCCTGCTGGCAACATGAGGTAGGTTGGTTTGATCAACACAATTTTGATGGTTGTAATTAGAAGGTTACAGTTTTAATCCCATGACTGACATGGCTGTAGCAGGCCTCAAAGGTTTCCCCTAGTTCTTGGTGTAGTTTAGTCCAGCAGTGACTAAACTTAACAGAATATATTCAGTGAATTAAAAAACTACAATTGCATGTCTCCATTTTTTTAGATTGTTTCGTACAAATTGAGCATAAGACTTGTGATTCTACAACGGTTGTCTGTGTTGGTGTGTGGACTTACTGTAGAGTTGAAGACGATGAGCACCACTGCTGTGGCCAACAGGCTCTTGAAGTTTGAATAATCTTGGTCTGCCAGCACATTGTAGAAGTGACTGGGAAGGATGCCAACCTGATAAATGATCAGCTGCTCTGGTGACAGGAAAAAAACATGTTAGCAAAATGTTTAGAATGAGTTTAAACAAAGAGCAAACAAGTGTCAGTTTATTCACCCTTAACAATTCAAACTGCTGAGAAATAGCTAACAGCTAAAAGTGAGTTCAAATGAGGTAAGATTTAATCAACATAGAGCAAACTCTGTCAAGTTCAGCAAAACAAAAACTAATGATGACAAATGGACCAGAAATATCAACTAATACAAAACTATTTAATTTAGAATAAAAATGTTTGTCTCTTTAGTACCTGTCAGGGTGACAACAAGCAGCGTTCCAAACATCAGCACACTCTGACTGCTCCATGATGGAAACAGAACCTTCTGGATGTTGATGAACCTCTCTACAAATTTCCAGTCCAATTTTGGTCTGAAAATATATAAACAGAAAAGCGCGTTTAGAAATAGACAGTGACATAAGGTCAAGATTGGTTGAAAAGGTTTTTAAAATCAACACTTTGTATCTCATTTGGTTTGATGACTCCTCAATAATTTCTTATGCTGTTCTTATAGGTATAAAACAGGGATGTTTCTTGTAAACATGTGTTTATAATTGGGAGTGAAGGACTTGTTATGAGCAAGTTATTCCATTGCAGCATTCTCTGAGTCACAGATAAGCAGATACTTAAAAACAGGCTTCTCTTCAGCAGGGCCTCGTTAACGTTTTATTGACTCGACTGCTTGATAACACATAACATTTCAACAAGACCAAAGAATTTCTTTCTTTATTGCAAGTTTTGGGACTCTGGGTAGAACTGTTTAGCAGCCCCACCAGGTGGTAGTAATTCAACTTAAAGCAGCAGTTCCTAAACTATGTTCCCACACCTTTGAAAATAATGCCAGTATTAACTCCGCCATGTCTACCATGCGATGAATGTGTTTAATTCACTTAGCTTTCATAAGTTTCAAATTATTTTGCGAAAATGTTTTGACTGAGACAGGCGAATAGATAAATTACGACATACTAACATGGGAGCAACAATGGCGTGGTTACTGAAATTATGTGCACATACAGAATGTACAAATCATCTTCAAAACTTGAGCCTTACCTTTTGGTGTTTCTAACATTTGCTTTTTCCGGACGCGCCATCCGCTGTGCACTGAATGTCAACAGAGCTGAGAACACAGGACCACAGCACTAAACACAAGCTAACATTATAACTCGGCGCCAAAAAAGTTTAACGACAAAAAACCCTTAACGCACTACACTCCATAAAATGTCTGATCATCCAAAAACTGCTCTTTATTTTGTTTAAACGATTAAACAAAATGTTTGTGATCAGGTTCCTCTCGAGATCCTCTCCTACCTTCCATGCACATCAGGGACGACCAAATGTTTATTTGAGCTCACATTTCCGGTAAAATTTAAAAACTCTCTGGCTACGCATGCGCAAACTAGTGGAAGGAAATGACGTAATTTTAAATGTACTGCGCTGTAGATATTGTTTCTTTATTTTTCTAGATTCAGTTGTTGTATACATGTTGTTTATATATAGACAAATTATAACATCTAATTTACAAATATCCATTGCGTCTGATATGAACATATTTCCCCACCAAATCCTTGGCTCGTCCTCTGACTCAGCAGGAAAACAGATTAATGGTTTTACTTGGGCTTTTCATTTTACAAATATTGTGAAGAGAGTTGGGGAGAATGTAAAAAAAGACTGAGCACGAAGCTGTTCAATGTGAGGTGTCGATTTGTATCCCTCTGCTGGACAAGTGGAGTAATAGCAGTTGTGCTCCAGATGTAGGTGCTGTAATGTCGCCTCGTGTCTTATGTTTCTTTATAAATAAGGAATAAATGTAGGTTTGGTTTGAAACTGTAGGGTCTCTTTGTTAATGTAAAAATATAATGTGTGAATTATTTTAAGTGTAAAAAGACTGGGTCTGATTGTATTACTCAGGCAGAACTACATCGTCTATTCACGGGCGCGATCCCACTACTGAGCGGCACGGGGGCTTTGACCTGCTTCGTTGCCGACCTGGGCCGGTACACCCCTCCTTAGACGACCTGGATCTCCCGAGCTCCCCCGGGAGAACCATATCGATACCGAACTTAGTGCGGACACCCGCTCGACACAGTCCGCTGCAGCTCAGAAACCCTGAGCTCAAACCATCCGCCAGCCTCAGCCTCCCAGTAGCTTGGATTATAGGAGCGAGCCACTGCTCCCGGCGAGGAACACACGCTCTCACCCTGACTATGAACTCTGACTGATGTGACGTCACAGTGACGAACGTACCGCGAGTGTGGAGAAGAAAACGCACAGAATATAACGATAACCGACATCATATTCTTTTCTTTCTGACTGTCCATTAACATCTCCTATATCACATCAGATCAGGAAAATAATGTTATATTTCTGCATACTTCTCATGACATCATAAAAACGCTCTTCATCCCATTACAAATTAGTACTTTATTATGACAACAACAGAAACAAAGGGCTGAATAAGAAGACAGGGACAACACATTGTTGGTGCAACATTTTAATGTTTGCAACCCTTGCAAAAAACATACTCATCTTACAAAACACATTTCTTGCAAATAAGTTTAAAGAACATAATAAAACCAAAAAAGAACATATTTTCAATTAAAAATTAAAAATTCAAAGACGGCTCATACCGGTCTTTCAGTGTCACATCTTGAACAACAGCCTTTTGCCAGACTGCCAGGTCAGATTAGCTGTTAAATATAGGAGAGGGAGAGAGAGAGAGACATCAGTGTTTATACGTATAGATGTTGACATTTTCATATGGGGAAGGTGTATCTTACTCCGTTGTAGTCTTTTTTTTTTTTTTTTACCTGCTCTGTGCTTTCGTCCACTTCAGGGCGTGTCTTGGAGGCACAGAAGTGGTTGGATGGTAGAAAGTACACCCTGCTCGTTTACACTGCCCGGCAAACCGACACGGCTGAGGTGAAGAAAATGAGAAACACCAGCTTTTAATCAATTATAGGAAGATACCAAAAGTTCAATCAAATCAATATTAAAACAAACGATCATGACTGCATTTCAAATTGTCTTACCTTGGGATGGTAAAACGGACAGTCCACCTTTTTACAATCAGGGAAGAAACGACATACACTGGCTGTTGGAGGCGGCTGGACTGCTGCAAAAATGTTATTGTTAGATAAATGAAATGTATCTATTCATACACAGCGTGAATTGTAGAAGTGCCTGATGATTGTACAGTGAGACAAGAATACCTGGTTTGTGTGGAGCAGCAACGGTTCCTCTGCGGCTGACATGAGTGAAAGGACAGTCAGACTTTGTGCATTTGGCATCGTATTTACAGTTGGGGTGAATGAAGAGGCATTTATCCCCAAACCTGCATTTGGGAAACGTTCTTCAGACAAAGAAAATAGTAACAAAAGGTAATCAGTAGGACTTTCGGTGCTGGCACAGATGAAACAGTCATTGGTAATTAACCAAGCCGAGAACTTACTTGCACTGTGTTGTGGGGTGATGGTACGAACACTCATCTCCACTTTTACACGCTGGCCAGAACTTACAACGCTCCATCACTTTCTGTTTCTTAACAGGGACAGTGTCCTCACCCGCCATATCAGTGTCCATTTCATTATCTGTGATTAAAAAAGAGCCAAATAACCAGGTGAGGTCAATAACTTAACCTGAGAGCAAACATTTTGGTCATGAAACCAGAGTAATGTACTCACCATCTGATAATGTGACCACTCCCTGAAGCCTCTGCAGGACACTGAGCTTTGGCCCTCGGTTGGCCTGGACAATGGCCTCTGTGATTTTTATGGGAGGCCTCACATCATCCAGCTCCATGTCACAGTCTTCCAGGTTTCCCAGCGGACTGGGGATCCCATCCAAGGTCACTATAAACTTTGGGCTGGCCGAGTCAACCGTGTCCTTACTGATGTGGTGAAAAAGCAGAAAAATAGGAACCAACAATTGACCACTATACATGTGTTAGGTTTGAAAAAAAAAAGAACATGTCCGACATTATGACCATGCACTTGTACAGGACTAGACAGCAGACTTCAGCAGGTGTGTGTGTGTGTACCTGGCCTGTACGGTGCGTGGCACAGCAGAATGGACTTCCCCCTTAACCTGCAGTTGCTGTTGGGCTCTTGTCTGAGACTCTTCCAGTTGAGGACGATTCATTATAAAGGAGCGGGTATCAAAGGGTTTTTCCTCATTGCCAGCATTAACCTCCACACCTGCAAGTTCAACACAAATGCAGACGGTGTGAATAAAGTGACTGATTTCAGCAAAACACCAGTGGAAAAACACAAAAATCACTGTTGAAGAAGACTCACCATAAACACGTTCTCTTCCAGCTGCTACATCCAGCTGCAGGCGGGAAGATAAAGATCTCAACGGAGCTGGGAAGGAAATGTAAAAAAATATTGAACCAGTTTTATTATTTAATGTCTGACATGACGTTAAACAAAACATATATACATATAAGGGCGGTTACATTTTTTGGATAGAGAAAGGCAAGGTTAGGAGTACACATATGTTGTTTTGTGTTATTCTTGACATACCTTGAGGTCTTGGAGGAGATTGACCTGCAGGTGTGTAGGCCTGCACTCTGGGAGCCAGAGTGTGGAGGTGCTTCTGCACCAGCTGTATAGCGGCTGTCATTTCCTCACTGCTGGCCAAGCGAGCGCGAGGAGCCACGGGAACAGTCTGCTTGGGTGGAACTGTGAGGGAAAAATTAAAGAAGCAAGTGAGAGGAGTGGCCTCATGATACTAAAAAAATATTATACACAAGTCTGTGTGAAGGAACACGTACTTGTAGTGAAGGATGTGGTTTTAGTGATTGAGTCTTGAGCCTCAGATATGGCTTTCAGTATCAGGTTTCTGTTGGCTTGCTTGGCTGGCGGCAAAGTGGGTCTGAAATAATAATAATATTTAAGAGTTTGTTTAAGAAGGCTTTGTTATGAGACCAGACTCATCTTGGGAAAGATTTTCAATTGAAATCACAGTTTGAGTAAAAAGAAAAACATACTTGCGTTCTGGTTTGGAAGGCAGAGACACTCTGCTGGAAACGCCTCTTCCTCCATAGTTAGAATCCTCATCCTCTTCCTCCTCCACATCATCACTGTCTTCATCTGCTGCTCTGTTCACTCGCACCACTGAACTTGCAACTGGAGCCTTACGTTTCCTTGAAATTTCTTCC